TTTCTGGACCTGACTGTATCTAACTCTCACTTTCATATAATAAAGGAGTTAAAAACCATACTTTTATACACAGCCATAGTTGCTTCTTTTGACAAATATTCCTTGCAGCAAACCACATATACTCATTACATTTCTACTACTTGCTCTAGTTTTTGCCATTTACAACTTGCAATCATTCATTACATTTCCATTTCTCTAAGCTAAGCTAGCTTAGTCTTTGCTATATTAATTTTCAGATCCAAAGTACGCATTGCATCATACAATCCATATAACTTTCATGACAAATCACATAGGATCTCAGCTAACAATACAATATTGCTTGCATAAAAAGGTGCATATGTATTTATCCAACCAGTTCACCACAAAACATTCCTTATAGGTTTATCAATAAATACATTAAACGCTCTAGGGGATATCACATCCTTTTCTTACTTCCATGCTTTATATTTCTCCAATTATACCAACTGCATCACATTGTTACAGGATCTATAACTTTTCATTCATTTTTTTTTCTTCGACACTAACATTTCTAGCACTAACATTTCAGTTCTATCCTTCAACATAATCACTTTCATTCCCTTGCAGATCTCTAAATACTGCTTCCAATATTTGCTCACTTTAATTTAATCCCAAATATTTTCATCACTTTTATTTTTAATTCCATTCATTTTGGAGGCTGCATTCATTCTGATGGAGATTCTACTTCCAGAACATTTTTCTTTATTTCCATCAAAATTGTTCTGCATTTTCTCTGCCTCTTAATCTTAGCTATTCTTTACCTTGTATTTGATGATACTGCCCATTAGCCTCTGGTTGTTGCTGTTATGGGCATGTAGGTAATGAAATCCCAGAGAATTGAATCAGAATTAAAAAATAATATTTTCTAATCAAACATGATAAAAATGTATTATTGTACGTGTATATTAACTTAACTGTGAAGGGCTTTGGATTCTATCTCCAAAAAAATACTTCTGATTGGGAATGTAGCACCCACCTTTAGAACCTTAAAGGAACTGCTCCTTTTCCTAGAATTGTTATGGTCATAGTTGCTTTAAAATGCTGGAAACAGGTGCCACATTCATGCTCCATATGCTCTGTACCATCTTTTGGAGACTGAATCCAACTGCTGTACAGCCCTGTTATATAAACTACTCTTTGGCATATTTTTGAAAGTTAAGATGACCCAACCTGAGGCATTAAGAAAGATAGAAACATGTTGCATGTGAGGGGCTGTCCATAATGATGTATTGCATCCTACTCCAGCAGCCATTTCTCTGTGTTGGACAGTTCCAATATCCAGTGTCAGAATGTGCATATTGGCTGAGGATGATGGGAATTTATAGTCCCATACACCTGGAAACCACCAGTTTACAGGAAGGCTGAATGATTGCTTTAGGGTCCTTGCTTCTCAGAGCCATTTGGATGGCCACTGTGAAATCAGGATGATGGACTAGACCAGTGTTTCTCAACCTTAGCAACATTAAGAAGTGTAGACTTCAACTCGGAGTTCAACTCCACATGTCTTAAAGTTACCAAGGTTGAGAAACACTGGACTAGACAGTCCTTGGGGTTCTCTGAGCTTGGTGTTTTCTTGCAAACATTTTGTTACCGGGCTAGGTAACATTGTCAGTGCTAGAATGGAATGGGGTTTGCTCTCTGTTTATATACTATGGCATGCCCTGTCAGTGTTGGTGGGGGTGGGGGTTTTGTTTTGTTTTATTTTTTCCCTTTGGTAGTTCCTTGATTAGGGTATTGTTTACTGCTTGATTGTATGTCTGGTGATAAT